AAAAGGAGCTTGATTGCTAATTGATGGGCAAGGAGGTGGGAGATAAACTCAAATCTGCCTCCCTGATTAAGAAAGGGGTTGAGGTTATATAGTTTGGGGGGACCAGGGTTGAGAACAAAGCTCTGTTTTATTGGCTACGGACTGGACCAGGGACAAAGGATGTGGAGTTCTTTGGCTTCCTACATGAAGGGCTCATACATGAAGAAGGATGAAGAGGCTCTTCTTGCAGTAACTGGAGTTTGGGGTTTCAGTTGGGGGTCCCTCTCCCTCCGGGCCTTTGCAGTTTCTTGACCCCATCTGATCTTGGCGCTCAGCTCAAGGTCAGTCACTTCTGCTTGCTCAGACCGGGTCGTCTGCCAGTAAAATCCATTTGTCTGTGGATTCAAACCTCAAAGAGAAAGTTAGATATGTTTTAATTTCTTTTGTGCTCTGGGGTCTGCGAGCAATTTAACCATCTAACCCCCATTTTGTGATGACCAGAGTGGTAGGGGCCACTGGCCTGACAGCACAGAGGACACACCCCACCTCCAAAAATGACTCGGCCCCGGGTGTCAAACTGGCTGAGAAACACACTGGTGCGTGAGCCGAGACTCTGGCGGCCTCTGGTTGACGTGTCCCCCCACGACCTGCTCTGCCAGCACGGGCCCAGCTCCACGGCCGAGCAGAAGAGAGGCAGCAGCGTCAGTGCAGGGAGTTCGGGGCTTGAGGGCGGAGACCACCCCTCTGGGATGGGTGGCTGCGTCGGCACAGGACTGGCAGAGGACCCGGAGCATTAAGTATGGGTGGAGGTACCCACTGTCGCTTTCCCGGCCGGTCTCCCTAGGGACCAGTCTCTCAGCCTCCTGTGTCTCAGTTTCCCCATCTGTGAAATGGGCATCATGGTGGCAGCGAGGAAAGTGAGTGACTGCACGTTAACAACTCACAACCCCGCCCGGCACTTAGCACTCTCAGTAAACTGCTAAGATGATTGTCATCATTTTCATTCTAGCCGGAGGACCTCGGCTCCGCACTGGGGCGGGGTCGCTAAGCCAGCTGGTTTCGGCCGAGGGGTGGTGCCCGGGGTCTGTGCGCTCCCGCATGCTCCGAGCTGCTGCAGGCTCCCCCAGCCCCGGCTCGGGGACAGCCTCGAGTGAAAGGCTGGAAAGGTGGAAATGGCCAATACTTGGATTTCGAGAAGCCCCTCCCAGCGGGATTTGCTTCCAAAGACGGGGTGGAGGCCCGAGAAGAGAAGAGCCCTACACTTGGCCTCCGGAAGACCCCTGGGGTGGGGCCGGGCCTTTTGAGCCCTCAGGTTCCCCCCTGACCAGGACAAGAGTCCGGGGGGGCGGGGGGGCTGTGCGTCTGGGGCCAGGCTTGATTCCTCTGTGTTGCCCTTGACCTGAAGGAGGAGAGAGAGGCCGGCGTGCTCTCACCCTCACGCCTTTGCCAGCTCCTGCCTCCTTCCTGTAGGAGATGCATCGCCCAAGGGTCTCCATCTCTAGAATGAGCCTCCAACAGCTCTTCCTCCACTGCAGTTGCTGGGTCGTCTTTCTCTGCCCCGGCTCTGCCTCTCTGTGTCAGCAGCTCCCCGCCGCCGCTCCCTGCAGGTATCTATCTGGTCGTGATAGCAACACCTCGAGGACACAGGTTCCCAGCAGCCTGGCGTCAGCACCCTGGCTGGGGGAGTCACTCCTCCTTTTGCAAACTGGCCTTGGTTCTGACCGGGAGGTCACAGACCATGACGGTTGAGGCACGGGAGTTGGGGCAGAAATTAGGGGTGAGGGAGGAGGTCCCCAGGCAGTGTGCCTGTGGTTTCTTCACTTAAGGAGCCTTCAGCGCCCTCCCTCTCCTGCCCCCAGCTCGCAGGCTTCACAGTGCCTGCGCGACCCCGGGTGGGAAGGACAACAGAGGACAGCGCTGCTGTGCCCCCCGAAGGGGCGCAGGGATTCCCCCACTTTTGAGTGCCGTCTGCCCCCGCCATAGCCCCTCCCGGAAACCTCTCATTTGCGCTTCCTTCCCCCAATCAAAACGGATGAAGGAGGCACCTGCCAAACCCCTCTGCCTCAGGAAGCTGGCAGAGAGCGTCCCTTGGGGGCGCACCCCAGCTGCAGTAGAGTGTCCCTGAGAAATGTTCCCTAGACACAGGCTTCTTCATCTTACTACGTGTGGAAGCCGAGGTAGAGTAGTAAGGACGGGTCCTGGAGCAGGTCTTCAGATTTCGCACGGGAAAGCCGTGGTCTTCAGGGCTGCCTGGACGGCCTCTCACGCCCCTCCCCTCCGCTCACCCCGACGTGACGTGGATGCCGTGCGGTTACCTCCATTTTGCAGAAAAGGAAACAGACTCATGCACTCCCGGGGTCACCTGGCCGAAGGGGAGCACAGTAGGGCGGCAGCATGTGTCTGGACTTCCTCCCCACCCCGCGCCCCTGGCAGCAGAACTGCCGCCCGAGCAGCATCCCATCCCTGCCGGCCCTTCTGGGGTCCCTGCTCCTGAGCCAGCCTGGCCCGCGCTCGCGCTGCAGGGGCCTCTTTGCTCTGCTGCCGCGAACCAACGACGCGTTGCTGTCACTCTCCATCACTCCTGCCCTGTGCCCTGCCTCCCGGGGGCCTCTGATGTTCCCCAAGATTCCCTCCAGCTCTCCCCAGCTCGTGGTTCCTGCATGGTGAGCACCCAGCCTGCAGGCTGCCTGGCCAGTCCCGGGGCCATCCTGGCTCCTGGTGGGCACTTTGGCTGGGTGTGGGGGAGCAGCAGGAAGGAGCGCCCCGTTGGCGGTGGGCTTGGCCACCATCCTCATCCTCGTGGATGACCTCCTAGGTCCCTGGTTCTCAGCACTGTCAGCACGTTCTGAAAATCTGCAGGCCTCAGCCCGGTGCTGCACAGCTGATCCCGGGCACTGGCATCGCTCTCTGTGCCTGGAATGCACTGCCAGGCAAGCCTGAGGGCTGTGGGGTGAATTCATGTTTCTGTGCTAGTACTAGTGGTCAGGTGGAACCGGGGTGTGGGGGCACGGCCTCCGCGGGTCACCCTACCTAGTGGACACCCGACAGATGCCCAGTACGGCAGAGCAAGGACACAGGACAGCCATGTGGAGAAGGGACAGGCGTGAATGTGGGAGGGCGGAGAAGCCGTGGTCCAGGAGCCCAGACCCTGGGGAGATTCTGTGATCACCCAGCGAGGCGGCGCCCTGCTGAGAACCACCTGGCAGGCTCCCGAGGGTGCGGCATCTGGTTGGGCTGGAAGCTGCTTGGCAGAACCGGGCAGGGCAGAGGTAAGGTGGTTTGCCAGGGGCAGAAGAATGGGGTTTCTGTGTGGCTTATCAGGACGGTGCTCCCGGACAGGATGTGGAGGAGGCTCCGAGCCCGCCTGGCGGGTGGCTGCGATCAGCCTCCGGCGCGGCAAGGACTTTGGACGGGAGCCCCACCTCTGTCCTACCGGCGGCGCTGGGCTGGCCACCCTGTGGTTCGGCTGGGGATAAGCCCCGCGCCTGCCTCTGAATGGGGGGTAGGTGATGGCAGTGGATGGCGAGCCACAGGGTGCAATGTCCACATCAGGCAAGGAAGGGCCTCAAGAGCTGGCCAGAGACCTTGACCTTCCTCACTGCAAGGTCAAGAATGCTGGATGTACTTGCTGAACCATTTGGGGGCAGTGAGTGCTTGGAGGACGAGTACCCCACTGAGGACCTGGCCGAGAAGGGAGGGCAGGGCTAAGGGAACAGCGGCATGATGCTGCCCTTGAGGTTTGCTCCTTCAACAGGCATTTTAAGTGGTCCCTGCTCCTGGGATTGGAGCTCAGTGTCTGCTTGGGCCATGGAGCTGACGGTAGAAGCTTCTAGAACAAACTGCATTTCTGCCCAGGGCTGGTGGGAGCAAGCTCGGCAGGGTCCTGTAACTTGACCAGGCCTCTGTCTACAATGTGACCCAACATGGGGTTTGAGCCTAGACCAGGAACCCAGGTGCTGAGAAGTGAGACAGGGCCCTGAACGAAGCCCTGTCACCCGCCCTGGACAGCAGAGGAGTCTGCCAGGACTTCTGGCCAAGTGGCACCCCCTCCCCGCGCCCTTGAGGTCTTTGGTGCTCAGAGGGGCCCTCCATGGAGGGCCAAGACCAACCCCCGGAGAGCTGCCCTAGGTGCATCCTGCAAGGTGTGGTCTCTGCAAGTTGACACAGTGTTGACTGACACTGGTGTCTTCTTGTCGGGGAGGCGTCTTGCACTTGCACTGTCTCTTCTGTCTGTCCCGCCCTTTGCACTGACATCCGGTCTGTGTGTGAAGCGGCTCTCATGGTTTGTCACGCACCAACCCACTGATTCACTCAGCACAGACCTTCTGTATCCCTAAAAGGCAGGAGAAGGTAGAGGAAGGAGGGAGGACCATGGGAGCACCCCAGGGACCCAGAGAAGTGGGGTGCCAGGGCTAGAGCGGCACAGAGAGTCTGTGGGTCGAAAGTCCCGGCCCGGGAGGGGACCCTCGTCCCCGGCGGGGCATCAGCGCTTCCTGTGTCCACCTGCGAAGGTGCTTGGGGTGAAAGGTGTGTGTGTCTCCACGCGGCGAGAGAATGGAGCCAAAGCGTGCTGAGCACTGACACGCGCCAGGATCCTACAGCCCTTGGGTCACGCTGCCGGCTTTTGTGGGATGCTGTTCTCCCCACAGAACCCCTTCCTCGTTGTATATGAGGATCTGGGGTGTGCAGAGTTCAGTGATTTACACAATGTCGTGGAGCCAAGTGGCAGAACTGGGGCCATCTGCACCCCCTGCCAGTGTGTGCCTGGCGCTCCTGTAGCACATAAGGATCAAGCGACCCGGGGACCCAGGACAGCCTGAGAGTGGGTGGGTGGCTCCCTCCCCGCCCCGCTGCTGTGCTCTCCACCGGCACCCGTGCCCTAACCTGGTTCCCTCCTCCACCTGTCACACGTCTCACCTGGGTGTCTAACGCCACAGGACGGCTTGGGCAGGCAGGGTCTCCTGTCTGTGTGGGTGCTCGGTCCTGGACCACCTCCTTCATGTGCCCTCTTGGTCTTTCAGGAACTTAGCCATTGGAATTGGGATCCAGAATTTCCCGGAGGGTCTTGCTGTCAGCCTTCCTTTGCGAGGGGCTGGCTTCTCCACCTGGAAAGCCTTCTGGTAAGTCCTCTGGGCCTCGCTGTCAGGGGCTAGGGTGAGGTCAGCAGTGTGGTCCTCCATGCCGGCTTCCTCCAGAACAACCTCTTCTGACCTGGAGTGGAACCTGAGCTTCTGGTGAAGCTCTGAGCCTCTCCTGGGCCCGGAGGTGGTTTGTAGTCCCGCCTTGTCGTTGGGGAGGTTCGGTGGGGTGGGGTATGTATCTCCCATCCCCACTTTATAGATGGGGGGACTGAGGCTCAGGGGCAGGGAATCTTGCCGAACTCCTACTCCGAGGGACAGTGAGGTCCCGACTCCTGGTCTGTTCATGTTTCGACCGTAGCCTGTGTCTTCCCGGGGGCTTGGCTGTAGGGTTCAGGGTTACCTCCCGCTTTCTGAATCCTCAGGGCTCAGGTGGCTGTTTCAGGCAGAGCTCATATGCTTCCAGGTAACAGAGACCCACTCTCATTAGCTCAAAAAGGGGGATTTTTGTCAATGGAGCAATCTACCTTAATCTAAAATAGGGGTATCAGGGCCAGGCCCTTGATGTACACGTGACCAGGTAGGTGACATCTTCAGCAGGGATGGGGGACAGCAGGGATGGGGGACAGCCCCTCCAGAAGGGGCCTGGGTGCCCAAACACACCAAAACACCCCAGACACACTGTTTCTGAGAAATCACCTCCCACCAGGTCAGTGTCCTCGTGGGCATCCAGTGGGAATGGAGCTTCAGCACGTGGTACAGCCACACAATGGGGTATTATTTGGCCATGAGGGCCATACCTGTTACACCTGGACGCACCTGGAAAACACGCTCAGCAAAACGAGCCAGAGGGACCATAGGCCGTGATTCCATTCACATGAAATATCCAGAAGCAGCAAATCCGTGGAGACAAAAAGTAGATGAGTGGCTGCCAGGGGCTGGAGGGAGAGGAGCATGCGGAGTGGCCGCTAATGCGTAGGGGTTTCTTTCTCGGCATGAAGAGAATGTTCTGGAATTAGAGAGTCGTGATGCTTGCACAACCTCTGAATGTACTAAAAGCCACAGAACTGTACACGTGAAGTGGACGTGCCCCTCGGCGTGTGAATGCTGTCCCAACAATGGCGCTGTTTGAAAAGACAATGTTGGAAAGTTAAAATCTGGGGGGAAAAAAAAAAAAAGCACAGGGCAGGCCTCTCGTCACTGATTTATAGGAAAGGAGGAGATGGCTGCAAAAACCAACGCAGTGGGGGGCCTGAGCGGTTGAGCGCTGGGCTTCGAAGCTGCCACAGCCTCTGCAGCGCCAGTTCGATCCCCGGCCGCCAGGGAGGGTCCCACATGGCGCGCAGACCTCTCCTGCCGCCCACTGCTCCCCTCAGCAGTGTATTTCTTCAAGTCTGCCTGCTCTGCTCTCCACTCTGGCTCTGGTGAATTCTCTCACCCTCCCGCGCTTCTGACTGTACCCAGTGCTTGTATAAATAAATAAATAAATCTTTAAAAAAAAAAAAAAATGCAGTGCTCAGGTATGGCATCAAATGCATCGTCCCCTGGGGCTGGGTGGGTGGCCTGAGCCGGCCGGCTCCTACCTGGCCCTCCCCCGATGGTACGAGTCTGTTCTCTCCGTAGGTACGGGCAGCTCAGCGGCATGGTGGAGCCTCTGGCCGGGATCTTCGGTGCCTTTGCCGTGGTGCTGGCCGAGCCCATCCTGCCCTACGCTCTGGCCTTCGCTGCGGGCGCCATGGTCTACGTGGTCATGGACGACATCATCCCCGAAGCTCAGATCAGGTGGGAGACTGTCCCCTCCCCGCCCCCTCCTTGTTCCGTCCCAGCCCCCCACCGGCCCTTTCTTCATCTGCCGCGTCTTACTTCTCTTCCACCCCTTCCGAAGATCGTCCACCCCTGCCTCAAGTCAAAGAAAGAGAACTCGCGGGCCCCTGGGTGAAGAGTTAGACCACCCGGCCCTCCCACCCCAGCTGGCATTTTTGTCTGTTTTCATTGATTCTCATTCCCACTGCCTGTCTATCTGTCCAGTGTCTGTCTATCCATCATCTATCAACTGTTATCTCTGTATGTATCATCTGTCGGTCAATCAATCTATCATCTGTCAATCAATACCTACGTCCCATCTTTCTGGGGCTGCCTGAGGGACTAGATAAGCTTTGCCAACCAAAGCCATCCCTACCCCTCTTCTCACTGCCCGGCTGTGGGCCGGGTGTCCGGGGGGGCGCTGGTGGAGGGGGCTCCCTTCTTTGTCCATTTTGGTTTTCATAGCGTGATGATTTGAGACCAGTCAGTTACAGGGCAGATGAGATCATATCTTCGGTAAAGAGTGGACACCTACTGTTCAGCACAGATTCCAGGGCCGGGGCCTGGGCCTCGGGCATTCCCCACCAGTACAGCGGGAATAGCAGCGCTGATTTCAGGTGGTCATCCTTTGGGGTGACGTGGGTTCCTCAGTTTGCCTGACATGGAACCCCCCGGATGTTTTTGTCAGTGTCATCGCCTTATGAACAGTGGTTGCACATTCCCTGCTGGAACGCACCCTGCAGAGGATGCTTTTGGCAAGGACCCATCCCGCGTGCCCTAAGGTCTTCCTTCCTTCCTTCCCTCCTAGTGGCAACGGGAAGTTGGCGTCCTGGGCCTCCATCCTGGGGTTTGTGGTGATGATGTCCTTGGACGTTGGCCTGGGCTAGCGCTGGACCGCACGGACCCCAGGAGGGGCAGCACGAGGACCGGCGACGGCTGGCTGCGGTGGGGCCGCCAGCCCCTTTCTTCACGTTAGAGCCCTTTTTCCTCTCCCTCCTTTGCCTCTCCTTACTCTGATTGACTCTGATTACGACTATTTCTACTTTTCCTTTTGCGGGAGATACTGGTTTTATTTGGAATTTCAAGGTGTCACGCAAGGGCACGTTTTTGCTTGGCCGCTGAAGGGACGCTTTCTGCAGTGGGATTTCCCAGAGCCTACGGACCAGGGAAAGCTCTGCTCGAATGTCTTCACTCTCCCTTGCTGGACTCGATGGCAGCTCCTCAAGGTCACCTACAGAAGCAAGCCACCGGGGCAGGACTGCCTGGTGCCTTGGAGCCGACCCACCAGGACGCCTGTCGCGTCCCGCCTGCTGGACCACCGCTGCTGCTCCGCCACCGCGTGGGACTCAAGCATCGCCGCGTCGCTGCTCCCCAAGGCCCAAGGAGGGACATTCTCTGTCTGCCTCCAGGGGAGATGCTTAGTGTATGGGAGGGACATGGGTGCAGGGAGGAGAGTCAGCTGATCTTTGGTTCAAGGCAAAGTTGCGTTAAGGGAATACGGAAGCGGCGAAGACACAGGCTGAGAAAAGAGAACAGACTGTGGCTTTGATGGGGGGCCCTGCTGTCCATGGGCTCCAACAGCAAAGCCGTTTGTCATGGTCTCCAAATCCCCTGGACAATTATTTTGATACGTTTATAGCCTTCATTTTTCTAAGAGACCGGGGGACACGAGGAGGCCACTGCAACTCAAACCCTTTACTTCGTTGTGGAGGAAATCATTTAAGCGAAGATAAGGCAACGGAAGACACTGGAACCCGCCATGGGTCTCACTCTGTGACCACTTGGTGACTTGTGACCTGACCCTGAACCCTTAACATGCAGCAGACTTCACTGGAGTGTGGCCAGAGAGCTTAGGAAGAGAAAGGAAGGCATAGGAAGAGATATTTTTTAATTTCCCTTCTACAGTAAATTTTAGCAACATCAGCCAACACTCTGCAATGACCCTAAAGGATGACTTGAAGTAGACAAGTGGCCACCCACTCCACGTAGCTTCCGCTGCAGGGTGGCGGCACCTGCTGCTGCACACACAGCGAGGCCTGCCGTCCGCAATGGTCACAGGGGCATTTAGCATCTTGAGCAGGCTCCGCTGGCCAGGCAGCGGCACAAGAGCCAGGTTTCAGGCATTGGGTCACCCATGTCTGCCCTCTGAGTTTACACGTTCGATTGCTTCGCAGGGTAAATTCCCTGCTCTGCGAATACGCTAAGACCCCAAAGGCCAGTCTCCTGCTGGGCCTGCGTATGTTCTTCCGAAGTTCTGATGATCAAAATTGAAGACACGTTCAACGGTTTGATTGGTCAAGATTAATTGGTTTGGTGGCTGGTGTGTGTGTGTGTATTTCTATGTCTCTGTATGTAGTTCTACATAAGGCAAACTTCTTTCTGATGGACAAGACCTCATAACTGTGATTAATATCAATAAAGGGGAGATCGTTGCAGATGATATGTGGCTGTGTTCAGTGTTTCTCAAAGCTGCTTCTTTCCAGGGTTGATAATATAAGGGCTGAGGGCAGTGAGTCCCAACGTCTCCCCTGCAGAAGCAAAGGAAGACTCCGATGAGCCGGGCTAGTTAGATGGATGGTTATGAACAGCAGTAGCCAGCTCCACCTTACTTAGACCAAGAATTGAATGGAAGGCTGTCAGGGAGCTCACGAGCTCTACAGGAAAATCAGGCTTGAATATGGGTTGGATTTAAGGAAACTAGGAGTCTGGGACCATGGCCCAATCAGATCTCACAAACCAGCCTCCTCATGCCACCCCCAGGCTGATCCTTAGATATTGGACATCAGTACTCACCGTGCTTCCCCTGGCATCACCGCCACCACGTGAGCACGAACTCTAAACTGACCTGTGGTCCTGAAAGGGACACCGAGCGCCTGGCAGAGCTCAAGTCCCGTGCCCAGGAACTAGCTGGTACTGCCTCCTCACCGAGACTCACACAGTAATGGAATTTCAAACTCTGAAACGTGTTCAGAAGGTAGAGAGTCAAGAGAACAGCTTAAGTTTATGACAGTCTCGTTCTTTGACTGCTCAGCATCTGCCTTATTCCTCCATTTTCTCTTTTAAAGACTTTCTTCTTAGATAATGGGGCCATCCCTCAGGACGCTGAAAATTCACACAGGCCGGCCCTTCCCAAAGGAGCCACCCCTGTGGCGGACTGCCCCAGTGGGGCGCGTTCCTGTCTCAGATTCAAAAACTTAAACTGGAGGAGCCCAAGCTGATGAGCGCTGACCTTGGACACTGCCGATGCTCTGCCAGCCCCGGGCAGTGCTCAGCTGCAGGCTGATGACTGTGGCCTCTGCCGGTACGGGAGGCCAGGGAGTCTCGCGCTGAGACAGGTTCCCATGTCTCCATTTGGAATTGCCGGCCGCCCTGCCACCCCATCATCACTTTGTCATTCCTAAACACATTGCTTCTGACAAGGGGTTCGCTTTCCAGTCACAGAGGGGAGGCCACTTTGGTCTGATCCCCCAGAAGGAGTCGTCCGTGTTGAACTATGACGTGAATTATGAAAGATCTGGTTTCAGCTGGTCTGACCTCAATCCATTATCTAATGAGATCAATATTGTCCTTTTTAAGGCGGGTGTTTGTTCAGAACCGGTGATCACAGTTGAGTTGCTCTTCCCCCTAAAAGCAGGTCTGGCGTGGATGGGGTGGGGTGCTGCACCCCTTCTGTTTGACCTAAGGCTCCCCATTCTGTAGATCATCTTTTCTCTCCCTGGATGGTTTCTTTGAAGTTGTCCACTTACTTACATTTTATCTTGCTGCTCGTGCTTGCCGTGGTTTATTAAAACTTTCAACTCCAAGATCCACCTCAAGGAGTTTTACGTCTATGTTTTCTTCTGGGAGTTTCACGGTTGCGGGCTATGCACTGTAAAGCTGTCACTCTTTCATCGTCCAGTTGCATCTTGAATCCATTTCAAGTTGATTTTTTGTGTGTCTATGGCTTTCCCTTGGAGCTGGATTCCTTTAGGGAAAGGGGAAGAAACGACAGTGTCTTTGAGAAGCATTTCAGACAGGAGAGAAGGGGTTGTTTCGGCTGACACAGGAGGCTCTTAGAGGGTTGCGAATTCAGAGAACTCCAGGCTTTTCCCGTCCTCCCTGCACGTCCGACCTTGTGTTCACCCTCCAGGGGCTGCTGCTTCCCACCCACAGCTCCAGTTTTCTAGGGAAGGGCTACAATTTCACCAGCACAGAAATTCAGCCAATCCCCAGCATCAAAATTGGCATTTGTTTCTCTCCTTCACTCGGTGTGTGGACCCAAGAGGTAAGAGGGTTCCTAAGGTAAGAGGGTTGCCAAACCCCTGTACTTCAGTCTTCTTGAGCGTCCAGTGTCTTTCTACACTGCCCGCCTGCTGACCGGGACTCAGCCGTGACTGTGTGAAGGTAGAAACTTCTTCTTCCCCGTGACTGGTATGAGAAGTGGGGTGTGGGGTGTGGGGTAGGGCCTGCATTTTCTCTGGGGCCCGACGGAAGCCTGCCGTCCCCCTACGCAGAGGGTTTAGTGAGGACTCCGTGCCGGGCACCTTCCTCCGCACCCTCCTTGACTCCAGTGTGGTCACCCCACCTGAGGAGGCAGGTGGGGTCCAGGAAGTCTTAACTCACCAGGCGGGGGCAGGGCGGGCTCCCTGGTGGCGTCGGGGATGCAGGCATTGACCGCCGGGACCACCCTCCTCTGCCCTTCAGCCCTTCAAGCTTGGCTGAGCCTTGTCCTGCACCTCTCCACCCCCTAATAAATCAGGGATGAATCCAGGAAAGTTGGAAGCAAAGGGAGCCCAGAGGCTGTTCTTTTCCCCTTTCTTTAAACAGAGGCAGAGCACCTATAACAGAGGCGGGCTCCTTAGAAGTGCGCGCAGCACCACCAGTCTTTACGCACCCAGCCCTGTGACCAGAACCTTCTTAAACCACAGGCGGGGACCCCAGCTCCAGGGTGTCCCCTAGCCACAGCTCCTGGGTTCAGTGGGGCTGGCCCACAGGTACAGGCGGGGAGGGGCGCCTGCCAGGTGAGGCTGGGCAACCAGGCGCTGGCTCATGTCCCCGGGGGCCCGGCTGTGAGCCCAGGGGATCCTCGCAGTCCTTGGCCACCCCGGGGCGGTTGGCGTGGTTCCAAGGGCGTGTCCCCTGCCGGCTAAGCCGGCTCCCGGTGCTGTTTGGATGCGCGGGGCGGGGCGCCTAGCAGTGCTGGGCTTGGCACGCAACAGGCAGCGCCTCCCCTGGCCCGCCTGGCCTCGCATTTGCTGTTACTTTGCTTGGCTGCCGCGAGGCTGGTCCCACGCCACCCAAGGGACCCCAGCCTCCCTAAGCCTCCAGCCGGCTGGTCACTCCCAGCTGGTGCCCTTGAGGGTGGACCCGGGTTTGGGAAAACCTGAAGTTTATACAATTTGAGGGGCGCTCTGTGGAAAAACAACTCTGAAAATACTGTGGCAAAATTACGCACGAGGCTTTGGAAGGGGTGCCTGAGAGCAAGCCCCCCTGAGGTCAGGCTTGTCTGGCTTTGCATCAAGTTCATCTCTGGCCCCCAGGCTAAGTGAGCCAGGGCTAGAGGCCTAGAGTGCAGGGGACCCAGAGACGTCTCCAAAGCTTCAGGTGGCCTGTTTAGTGCAGTGGCTTTGCCATTTTCCTGAAACCATCCAGCCCCGCCCTTTCAGAAGCACAGGCAGTGTGTTCACGGGTAGGAGGGACAAAGCTCAAGATTCTTCTTTCTCCTCCAGTAAGGAAAATTACACCTGGAGGAGGAACTGCCAGCAGGATGGATCCCATTTCCTCTGCCCATCTAGTCCCCACTCCCTTGGTGGTAGCGGAACTGTCAGCAACTTGGTGGAGAAGGGGTCCTGCATGGCCACTGTCCCCAAAAGCTGCCCCTGAGTCCTCTGCAGCTTCTGATGGAGCTGCTGGGCCTTAGGACCTCTGACATCCTTGAGGGGTCTGGGCTACTGCCCTCTGTTCCAAGTCTTGAGCAGATGCCTTTCCATGCACAAGGTGATCCTCTGGACCTGTCTCCCAGCAGCTCTGCACCCCAACCCACCTCAACCCAATTAAAAGACAGATTGGAAGTTGTGTGGGGTCTTTTCTGATACAAACCCCAATCTGGTGTACTATGGACCACAAAGTTAGTCAGTCTCTCACTGGCTTCCCTGTCTAACTGCGAAGGGGCATGGATCCAACTTGTTTGGGTTGCTGAGGACCCAGCCTGGAGTTTAAGCCCAGATTAGCATCTCCTTTCACTATAGCAAGAGCTATGACCTTCAAGAGTCCAGGATGTGCCAGGGCAGAAGGAAAATACAGGACAAGCCTGGCGGGGAGCATGCAGAGAGGAGAGCGTGCCCCCAAATCCAGGTTCCGCCTTCCAGGTGTGCAGGCAGGTCAGAGGTGTGCTCTCTTTTCTGATCATTGCCTGCTGACCTGGGGTCTGCCTGGGTCACTACTACATCCTGGCCCCTTTGGCTCCTTTGGGGCACCTTGGTATCCCATGGAAAAGAACAATTAAGTTATTTAAGAATAGTACTTAAGTTTATGCTTCAAAGTTTTTCTTCAACGGGAATGTGCTCCCTTTCTGCTTTTTTCATTGAAAATTGCCTATAGAATGTAATAAGTTGAAATTGTGGGAAATGTACATATTTTCATTTACTGACAGATTAAGAGACAAGAGCACCCGACATAAATGGCTCGTGAACATGTAGATCTCATTGGGACTTGGGTCATGTTTGTTAAGTCAGTGGGTGATGGGCCTTATGTTAGTTCTATAATGTGTCACAAAAGCAGTAGCTTAAAGTCCCCTGGTTTCTGGGGCTCAGGAGTCTGTGCAATTAGCTGGCTCCTCTGCTGTCTTGTGAGGCTGCTGTCAAGATGTTGGCTGGGCTGCGTTCTCCTCTGGAGGCTCGACAGGGGAAGAATCTGCCTCAAAACTCCTTCAAAGGGTTAGCACAATTCAGTTCCCAGCAGTTGTGGAATTGGGGGCTCCAGCTGCTCCTCGCTGGTTGACTGGAGGCTTTCCCTAGCTCCTAGAGGTTCCTGCAGATTTTGGAGCTGCTCCAAATTCCTTAGCACACAGGCTTTGCCAACACGGCTGCTTACTCCATCAAACCAGCCCGCAGAACTCTGGGCGAGTTTGCCCCCAAGAGGGAGTCTTGTATAACGGAATCCCAGAAGTGACATCTAATCCCCATTAACTTATTCTCTGGGCTCAGACACTTGGGTTTTGTGCGTTGATTTTGTGTATTGATGGGCTTCCTTTATCAGTGAGGACAAGCACAGCACAGCGATGACATGTGAATGTGACATGGTTTTATTCTCTCTCAGCTCATGTGCTTCAGAGTGACACAGCACAGTGGAAGGGGGTGTGTGAGCAGGGAGGAGACGGGGGTCGGGGACACCCACCTGGGGAGATGGGTTCTGTTGCATGAGCCCCGGGGACCTGGTCTTTCTGCACCCCCTTCTCTAGGGTTTCCCAGGAGCCCATCCTCCAGACTGTAGGTCAGAGCCTCTCTCGGCGACCAGTAGCAGAAACTGGGGGTAGCAGAGTAGCAGAGTGAAGAATCAGAATGCTCCAGGTTCAAGTTCCTGTTGCCATGTGAGCACCCATGGGGATCAAGCAAAGATGCCTTCATTTTGCACACTGGCCTGAGTTTGATGCAGGGACTTCTACAAAGTGACTCCCAATGACATCACATTCAGTGACTGTCTAAGGCACAGCCACTGGCTGTTCTCTGTGGGCAAAAGTTGGAAGGAACAAGATCTCTACCAGATCTCAGGAACACATAGATCTAGAAGTCTCCCGAGGATTTCTTTAAAATATATTCCTGTATATTCAACACCTGTATGGTAGACTTGTATAATAAAAGCAATAGCACTATCTTGTAAGTCAAAATTGAGCCTTACCTTTCGCACTTTGGAGCCCAAAGCTGAATGTAAGGGACATGTTGCAGGTGACCTGGCGGAGCTCTGAACGGTTTCTGTTCTGGAAGCCTGAAGGGTTCATGAACCCACATCAACATTCTTCCCAAGGGCTGATTTCTTAGCCAGTGGGTTCTGCCTATTTAGGAGGGGGGTGATGTAGGTGTGTATGTTTGTTTAATGTCGAACTCTTGGCAAATGCAGATTCTTGGCAAACCTATCAGGTTGGCAGGTGCTGAAAAGTAAAATCCTCTTTTTATAAATCAGAAAAGCTGCGATGCCAGGTTCCCATCATCACCCCTACCTGGCAGAGAGCGGCCTCCCCCGGTGCCCAGCGGACCCAGGCCCCAGAACAGAAGCGCTGGCTGCAGGACACAGCCTGGATGCCCCAGCGAGGGCGCCCCTTCGAATACTCGTTTCCCAGCTGTGAAAGATGAGGGTGAATTGGGGGAGCGGTGGTTCAGCCTTATCCTGAGGTTAGGATGCAGTGGAGGTGGGAGGCTAAGGGGCCGGCTGGGCTGGGTTAGGGGTGGGTTAACAAGGAGACGCACTGGCACCACCAACATCCTGGGAGAAATGTGCTGCCCTTGAGCTTGCAGCGCTCACTGCGTGTCTGTCTAGGAGATGACAATGCTGATAGCATGGCAGATTGCGATCAGCCTTGGCAGGGAGCACCAAGCAGCACTTTGTGGTTTGGAAAAGTGCAGCAAACTAGGGCACCAGGCGCCCTCAAAACATGCCCTTCTCTGCCCAGGGCTGCCACCACCACCCACTCCCAGGCCCCTCCCACCACGAGTTCCATCTCCACTTCCTCCTTTCCCTGGTGGGGGGAGCTGGCCCCATGTGATTGGGATGGTACCCCGAAGCACCGATACCCTGCTTCATCGTTGGGTCATTGACCCTTGTGTCCCCCACGGCCCATGAATTGGTCAGCACCATTTCATTTGGATCTTGTGGGCAGGTGTAGAGAGGGGTCAGTCAG